AGATAGGAGGCTGTTCACCTGCTGGGTCCCCGCCCTGCCCTCGCAGCCCACGCCCCTTAACCCCAGCATTCCTATGCCTTTGCTTAGGTATGCAGGAAGCTAAGCTGTCGCAGGTGCTGTGGCAGCCTGCCTCCCTTTGCTAGTCCCAACGTCCCTCAAATGTCAAAGCCCACCTCTCCACTGTCCTAACTTATCTTATATGGATAAATATGAACCTCAGGCCTTGTAACAACAGGACGGGGACCGAGTTGATCTTTTATCCATCAGTAGAGATGGTATACGCAGGGTTAATGGATGCTTTTGCAGTGGCTTGAATTAGGAAAATGGTTGTTGAAGACATTTCTTAATGGTCTTTGATTCCCACCTCGCATGACACTCGACAGATGCTTCAGGACAGCTGACAGAACGTTGAAGATGAAGAGGGGAGAGGGCGTGCCGCATGACTCCAGATACTTCCCCACGTGCAGAGCGAGCAGGCAGAGACGGGACTGGCCTCACACATGAGCCCCAGTAACATTATCCTCTCTGCCCAAGTGGAATTAGAAAACATTTGTAGGCCAGGTGAACATGGATTTCCTTATTTATTTAACTCATTTATGTATTAGCCTGCGTTGACTAGGAATCGCTTTGTCCTTTTACGTTTGCTAGAATTGTGGCGGTCCGTTGGAGTCCAGACTTCCAGGGAGCAGAGACCACCTCTGTGCACTCTGCTTTGTACGGCGTCTGGCGAAGGGCTGCAGGGCAGTGTCACAGAGAACCCCTGGACTTGGAGCCTGGAGATCCAGGTTTTAGTTCTGGCCATGCGACCCTCAAAATCCAGACCTCATTGTCATTTTGTGCTAAAAACAAATAGTGGGGGCAACCTTTTCCACCCTTCCTACTTCCTAGTGTTGAGGAAAGGACTAAATGGGGTAATGTGGAAGAACAATTTGTAGAAACTGTCACAGAAATATGGTTTTTAAAAAATTATAGCATGCATTTTGATGATAAGGATACCAGAATAATCAAAATCTGAACTCTGAGATGCTTCAAACGGAGAAGCTGATGTACACGGACCGTAACTGTAGGGAGCTGTGAGCCACGTGACAGGCCCAGGTCGTGCTACAGCTAAAACCAAGTTTGAGACCCAAGCAACACCAGCTGTCCCAGCAGCCTCCCCTAGGTCTATCCCCAAGGTGAAACGGCTGCAGTTGCATAGTTGGCCTTTTAAAAAAAAGATTTTATTTATTTATTTTTAGAGAAGGAAGGGAGGGAGAAAGAGAGGGAGTAACATCAATGTGCGGTTGCTGGGGGCTATGGCCTGCAACCCAGGTGCCCTGACTGGGAATCAAACCTGCGATGCTTTGGTTCCCAGCCCGCACTCAATCCACTGAGCTACGCCAGCCAGGGCATAGCTGGCCTTTTAATGCACCCGCTTTCTTCTCTTCTTGGGCATCCTGGCGCTGATTTTAACTTTGCACTAGAATTCAAGTGGGGGTGGGGGGGGTGAGGGGCACAGAGCGCAGGTACCATGGCCTAGACCCTCTAAGATGTACACATATCATGCACGAGTGCATGTGTGCGTCCAAGCCCCATGATAGAAAAGCCAAGAGTCCAGCTTTCTGAGCTGTTTCTAAACACTGTCATTTAGAGAAATGAGAAAAAGTGAATAAAATAAAGCAGAGTCCAGGACAGCTTTATCCATTTTGTAAAAGGGGCAGTTGTCCGTAAGAAGGGCTTAGAGATGAGAATTGAGTAATAATTCTCAGGAAAGGAATGGAATTACAAGGTATTAATGAACACGGTCAGCTTTCTAGAGTAGAATCCTAGGTATCCAATCTGGAAGGCTCTACGAGCCGTATAATCCCCTCTTTTTACAAAGCTTAAAAGGTGAAGTGATTGACCAAAGGGCACAACACTCAAGTATGAGAGTCTAGGGGACCAGGACCGGGGCTCCGGCTCCAAGTCTGGTGGGGCTGGACAGGGCTACACTGGTTACTGCACGGGCAGGATGCCACGGCCATGGCCCCTAGAGATGTGCAGGTGGTAAGAACTGTCACCGACTAGGGTTACATCCCTGGAAACTTGGGGAGCAAAGAAATGCAGTGAACAGGGAGCTTGTACCAAGCCATCCAGTTCACCTTATGGAAAGCAGACAGGTAGGTCTGCTGCTGTTTAAATGAAATCTTTGAAGGTTTTCAGAACTGTCAGTTACAGAACTTTTTACTAATACTGTTTAATTTAAAAAAATGGGTTCTGCTATTTTCTGACCACTGCCTTAATGAGAATGTTAGTGAAGAACTCTACCCAAGATCAGGAAACCAGGAGAACAGATGCCTGATTTTCCGATAATGTCAGGTGGGGTGCTAAATGTTGTCTGCCGTGACTGCTAAGCTGCAGTGCCAGCAGCTGAAGAAGGGAGGCACTGAAATTAGTAGTCTGATTAAGAGCAGATGCCCTCTTCCTTTGACATGTTGAGTGAGGACAACTGGTCAGCAGCCTCTTTCATGGGGTAGGTTTGTCAAGCAGAGCAGTTAAGAGAGAGCAGAGTGCCCTGGCTGCATGGCTCAGTTGGTTGGAGCATTGTTCCTTACACCAAAAGGTTGCAAGTTCGATCCCCAGTCAGGGCACATACTTAGGTTAAGTATTCAAGCCCCAGTCAGGGTGCATATGGGAGGCAACTGATGTGTGTGTGTGTGTTTGTGTGTGTGTGTCTCTCTCTCCTGTCAGACTCTCTCTCTTAAATCAATAAGCATATCCTCCGGTGAGGATTTAAAAAAGAAAAAAAGGCTCAACCTATATTCACACCACAACTTACAAAAAGAGAGAGACAGAGAGTGCAGAGGAGCTGGGATTTCCTGGTTTCCTTGCTAGCTCTGAAGCCTAAGGCCTTCCGAAGTACCAGTCACCAAGGTTTCAGATACAGGGAAAGAAAGGAAGAAAATGAATGAAGGAGATGTGGCTGTAGAACTGATTATTACAATCACTCTCCATCGAATGCGAAGGCTACCTGTTCTTACTCTGCAGGAACGGGTAACAGTTTTTCAGTGGGCCTGTGAAACCCTCTGCAAGAACAGCGCACTGGAAGTCACAAACTGGGTCTTGTTCTGACTCCATTGTTTACTGGGCTGGGTGACTTTGGTTGAGCTATTAAACATTCCTTGGCCTGAATTTTCTTCATTGGGAATAATACCTGTCCTGCCTGCCTCACAGGGTTGCTGGAAGATCTGATGAGATAATGAACCTTCCCTCCCTGAAAAAAAACCATAAAGCACTTCTCAAACAGAAAGTAATAATATTACTGCGCTAATTACTAGGAGCCCTTCAGACGGTTGGCTGGTGACAGAAACTGGAAGGTCACCTTGTTTCTTTAGCTATCATTCTGCGGCCCTCCTCTCTTCCAAGCAGGATAGCCCCGTGGGGAAAGGATCAAGTGTCCCCGAAGCAAAGCTAGACATCTCAGTCAAATGTTATGGGCTCCCCAGCCCCCACAGTTGCCAAGTTCTTTCTTGCATTGGATCTAAGTCTTTCCTTTTACTACTCAAGCTTATTTCTTCCTGCTCCCCTTGAAGATTTTCTCTACCTGCTGAAACATGATATTTTTTAGTGTTTATCCACTATTGAAGAACACAACCCAAACTTGCCAAATTACCATCCCTGGAGTCTGGAGTCCAAGTGTCATAAAAACCAAGCATCTGTTTTTGGAAGGAAACTTGAATCCCTTTATTTATAAAGTTTCAATCTCTTCCCTAATCTTGTCCCAGACTCAGGTCATTTTTACATCCTACAGTAATTTTTTTTAGTAGGGAGTGCTATTTTTGGGAGAAGTGGCTGCATCTGTATTAAAAACGTATAGAGAGGTCAGCCTTAGTGCAAGAACACTTGTTAAGTGTGCTTTAATAATGGAAGGAGGATAAGGAGTTGCAATTAGGATAAGCTTTGGAAAACATCAAGGAAGTGTGGATAATGGCGAGAAAAAGTCATCCAGATCCTTCAAGTTGCTGTCTTGGGTCTTGTCCATCTTTGCCTCCTTCATTTCCCCTCTCTGTACTCCAAAAGCTTTCAGTTATGGCCACCCTCTCTTGGCTCTGAACTTGGATAAACGCTACCTCGTTAGCTAAGAGTACCACTAATTATATTAGTGATTAATAGCTAATTAGTCATAAAGCTGTAATATTTACAATGGAGGCTTCCTTTCTTGCAGCAGCTCTGAGTCTCAAACACATCCCCTTCCCTATTCCTGGCCACCGGACAAGCGTGGCTCTCAAATTGTTTTTCAGACCACTCCGGTTATCTCCAAATTCTTCCAGTTTTTACTAGCTGTCTCATTCATCTGGCCAGTGACCACATTGCTTGTGTTTTGCCTGCTTTATTTTCGTCCTGTCACTCGCACAGCCCCCCGGTAAGGAGGTGGCCACAGTCAAGACTTTTTTTCTACTCTATTTCATGAACTAAAGACTCTTTTACTTCTAAATCTCACTTGGGCCCACTTTTCTACGTTGGCCCCCCTTACTTCACCTCACCTTTGCCTAACCCCCACCCGCAGCCTTGTTTCGTGAAGTCTCACACCCCTTGCCCAAAGCTCCCTCCCACTCGATATTTTGGCTTCCTTTCAGCAGCCACGCCCCCAGACCCTGGGAAAGCGGTGCGCACGCGCAGTCCACGCCTTTACCTGTACGCTCCGGAGTGGGCGGAGTGGGGGAGGGCGGGGGTGGGGCGGGAGTCGGCGGTTATCTGGGCGGTGGAGCGCTCTCAATGTGGCAGGAGAGAGAAAAGGTGCACGGGGGCCAGCCCCAGGGGCTGCGCATGCGCCCGCCGCGCCCAGTGGCCGGGATGCCAGGGGGGCGGGCGGAGGGAGGTGTCGGGATCCCAGTAGGGCGGGGGGGCCGGCGAGAGAAGGGGCCGCGGGCACGCGCGCGCTCGCCGCCGCTCTCCCTTCCTCCCTGCCCCCCTCTCCGCACACACATCCACACGCGCACACCCCCTCCCCTCCCTCCCCGCGCGCCGCCCGCCCCGCCGGCCCCGCTCGCCCTCGCGCGCTCGGAAGGGAGTCGCGAGACGTCGGAGCGGCGGCCACGTAGCGCTGCGGCGGCGGCGGCGGCGGCGGTGGCCGAGGCCGGGTCTGCGGAGCGGCCCTGAGTACAGACGTTGGGCGGGGGGGAGGGGCCGGCCCGGCCGGCGGTTGTTACTCGAGCACCGCGGCTACAGGCCCCCCGCCGCAGGATGGACCGCCGAGGCGGCGGTCGGGGCGGCGGAGGCGGAGGCGGCCGGCCCGGGTGAGTAGGGGCCCCAACCCCCCACGCACACACCACTGTCGCGGTTTCGCCGTCTGCAGCCGCCCGCCTGGCCGGCCGGGATTCTGGGCGCCGGGTTAACCCTTCTCGGAGGCAGCTGCGTGCACTAGGCCGAAGCAGCCCCCATCCTGCTGAGAGGCCGGGGGAGCTACGCTCTTCTGGCTCTTCGCTCGGGCCGGGGGCGCCTCCTTCTGCCCCTTCGCTCCCTCCCTCCTGGACCTAGGCTGGGCTGCAGTTTTGGAGTCTGCTGGCCCCGAGGCCTGAGGGGAGTCTGGGTTTGCATTGGTTAGCGGGCCAAGGGGAGGTTTGCACTAGTCCTCCTGCGAACATTCTACTGCCCAGCAGCTGGTGGCTTGCACCTACTGCCTCCCCCGCCCTGCGGTTGCGTCCAAATCTCCAACCCCCGGGGAGTATTGTGCCGCCCGAGATAAAATGCATATAGTATACAGCCGCACAACACTCACCCCAGATGGTAACGCAGACCTTTCTTCATCCCCCACCTCTTCCTCCCCTCCAATCAGGCTTTATAAAGATTCTTAGATGGGGGACGCCTAAGGTAGTGACACCCCTGTTACATGGGCACATAACATGTTCATTGTCGAAGGATGTCTCCTGTAGAAATGATAAATGCCCTTGCCTCACCCTCCAAGTCTGCCTTGACAATTTAAGATCCCATATACTCTTTTTTGAAGAGGGCTAGTCTTTGATCACATCTAGTACATCCCTCCCCCACAACACACACACACACACACTCTCTCTTCCTGATTGCTGAGCAGCCACTGTCATCGCGATCCATTGTCAGGAGTGGCTTGTGCCAATCAAAGGAATGTGCTTTTGCCTTTGGAGAAGGGTGATTTCCACAACCATGTCCCTGCGTGAGCCTATCTTTGACTGTCCCCATGCTCAAGGATCATCATTATAGTGTTTCTCTTATATACATCTCCTGTAGACCCTCAGTGATACCTGAGTGATGCTTTTCCCAGTTAATTAGATACATGTGTGTGGGAATTTCTTTTATTTTGTTGTAATGTTCAACATCTACTGTCAGGGCACAGTAAATAAATAAGGTACTATTTTGCGAAGAATGTATATTTTTTCCCCAGAGATGACCAGGCCAGTATTGTTCTGGGAATGGTAACTAGCCCATGCTTTGTTGACAACATGTGTATGCTTAGGGAATGAAGGGCTGCTGTGGCTGGTGTGTGTGTGTGTGCGTGTGTGTGCGTGTGCACGCGCACCGAGTGCAGGTGCTGTTCCCATGTAAAGCTGATTTGAGAGTGGCGAGCTGCACTGTGATCCTCAAAGCGGGCCGGCAGCTTGGTTGGTTGTGTCAGGACTGTGCACATGTATTCAGCTAGATACTGCTTTTAGTATAATTTTGTTTAGAATGTTTACTGCTGAGTTTTAGTAAGCCTGGAAATGTCTCCTTCCCTGGTCCTTAACCTTTCTTTGGGATCATTGAAGCCTTTGGGGCCCTCTTAGTGAAGTAGACACATAATTTTGTACGTAATTACAGTCGTCTTGAAGCTAGTCCTGGGACCTCAGGTTAAGATCTATATTATGCAAAAGTGAAAGGAACTTGAGTTTTGTAGGGGGTTTTTTTTTGTTTGTTTGTTTTTGCATGTTTGTTTTCCTTAAGGGTTGGCATTACTTTGGTCCTGAGCAATAAGCAACAAAGCTGATTATATACTCACGGGTGTCCTTCCTTGTGTTTTGTTATTTTATTACAGTGAGTTATATATTCGTAAGGCATCATTTCTGTCTTATTTCAGAAAAGTTAAGACTGGAGTCAAAGTAATTTGTCTAAATTTGATCAATTGATAATGTATGTTCCTTGCACTGTAATCTAAAGGTAGCAGGTCTCACCTGCAGAGTCAGTGGTCTGTTTCATGATGCCAGTCCAGAATCTTTGTATGTCAGTTGAGGTTGATCTGATCTTTTCAGAGAAGGCTTTATCATTCCTGTAGTAGAGCACCTGCTCCATGAAGATGTTTTCAACTTTATTAAATATAATTTTATATCTTTATTCAGGGTGGCATTGCCACCAGAATCATCCATTTTTAAATTTTGTTTTAATGGAAAGGTTTTAATTATACTTAGGGAGTTCAACCTCCACGTTTAAAATATAGAACTAGGGATGAACATTTTGTACCCTTCTATCAATAAGCAAGGGACAATTGTCAGCTGCTCTTGTTTACAACACTCTGCACCGAGACTGCGTTTTGATCATATTTCAATCAAAAGACATTTATTCCAGCTTTGTGATAGTGTTGTGATGGGTAATGACATTTAAAAAGCACCATCTCTAGCTCTCCAGGAGCTTACGATTTTGACAATATTTTTTACTTAAAGAATCCTTTTCACCCTGACTGGTGTGGTTCATTGGGTTGAGCGTCGTCATGCAAAGCAAAAGGTCGCTGGTTGGATTCCTGGTCCCTGCACATGCCTGGGTGGCAGGTTCCGTCCTTGGTCGGGGGTTCCGTCCCTGGTCGGGGTGCGGTTGGGCGAGGATGAGAGGCGACCAATCGAAGTTTCTCTTCCTCTCTTTCTGCCTCCCCACCGCCTCTAAAAATAAATAAAATTTTTTAAAAATCCTTTGAGACCTTAAATTTTTTTTTGCATTTTGGGGGTCCTGCGAAGCTAAGGAATTCATGATATTAACAGCTTTTTGGAAGGAAACGGAGCCTTGGAGTCTTGCATAGAACCTGTTCCACATACCTGAAGAGTAGCATTTATTCTAATAATTACGCAGTGTACCCTAAGAAGTTTGAAAGCATGCTGAGATGGCAAATATTGCATTTTTATTACCTAATAAACATGCTTGAAGTGGCTTATATTACAGGTTTTAGTTTTTGTTCATGTCATGCGTCAAGTTTTACTGTCAGAAATTATTTGCCTATCCCGAACGCAAACCATTTCAAAGTTGCAAATATGTCACTTTTCTTTGTCAGCATAGTATAGTGACAGATCATTAAAATCTCCGGACAGTGTGCTTCCTTGTTTTTTAATATGGCAGAACCTCTTCTAACCAGCCACTTACCTAGCTTGACACCCACACACCACAGAGCAGCTGATCGCATAACACGTATGGCTGTGAGAACGGCATTCTTCCCTCTGCCACATTCGGGGCTTGGAAGCTGGAAAACAATTGCATAGCAGCGAAACACTTACAGAGCGGTGGTGCCAGCAGCTCGCTCATTAATACAAACAGCTCGCTGTGGTTTCTTCAGCACTCTTCCTCAGACACCCTTCCCTTAGGAGGTTTCAGATCAGCAGCTCCTACTCAAGGGAAACAGCACCTACTCTCTGCAGCCGTGGCCCGGAGCTCTGATTCATGACACCCAGAGCGTTTTCGTTTCTGCTCTAGGTATGGGAAATAATCTTGTAGTGTGGTAAGAGAATACTTTTCAAGTCTGCAGAAAAAAAAAAGTTGATTAGTAATGCTACTGATGTGATTGTGTTTTTCGTGTCTGAAGGCTATGGGAGAAGTCAGTTGTAAGAGTGAACTGTTAAAAGGGTTTTAGATAATTTGACCAAAAATGCGAACGTACTCTCGAGTTTCATTTCCCTTGTTTTAAAAAGTCAGTGGAGAGACAGCCAACATTGTAACAACAGCAACAACAAAAAAACCCCTGTGGATTATCTTGTATTTGGAACCACAGCCTTTAGAACTCGCTATCCTAAAGGAGGTGACGGCGTTTCCTTGCCGGGTCTGGCGCCATGGTTTCAGGTATGATGATTTTCTCATCTGCTTGTCATTGCTTCCGTCAGCACGGGAATTGACTTGGATGGAGGTGAACTGGTGTTGTCGTTAGTGACTTGAGCCGAAGGAGCAGCAGGGAGATGCTTCTTTGGAGCCAGGCAGAGCTGGGTTTGAATCCCAGCTCCACCATTTACTGGCACTGTGGCCTTGGGCAAGTCACCCTGACCTCTCTGGTCTTAGTGCCCCCCTCAGCAGAGTGGAGTTTGTTAGGATGAGAGAGAGAGAATACACACAGACTTGTAGTGCAGTCGCTGGCACTGCATTAAAGGAGTATTCAGGAATCAATAGTTGGTCGGACACGCTGATGCGGAGCAGTCGCTACAGATAATTTTTGGCTCTTAAGATTTAGAAGTCTCGTGCTGCACTCTGCATACTTTCATTTGTGCAGATTTGGGATGAAAAAATTGCAAATATTTATCTTGGAGCATACCTAAGCCTTGCAGGTGCAGGGTACTTATTGGAACTTTGATTTGTTGCTTTATGACGGACTGAACTCAGTGGAGACATTAAAACTTGGCTTCAGATTCTGTAGTATTACCCACCGGCTGTGCTTGTTTTAAGCCTATTCAGAGCTTATATGGTAAAAGGGGTATTTTAGGACATTAATGTATCTCAATGAGTTCTGTGTCCAGAGTCGAATCATGTGCAAAGCCTTGTGCAAATTTTCATGGTTAATGCAAGCCGTGAAGTGCTTGGTAGAATCAGTGAAGACATCAGATGCTTATTGTAGTTCCTCTGCTTGTGTATGTAGCAGTTATCTTTCATTTTTACAAACACTTGTGAACATTTTCTCTTAAAGAATTTCTATTGCCCTTCTGAGGTTTTGATTATAAACTGTTATTAGTGCTAGCTATAGGTTTGAACGTCTTAGGCATCTTTGCTTTGTTGGGAGAAGGAAAGAAAAGCAAGGTCCCTTTACTTATCAAATATTATCGGCTCTCCACTTTCAGCCTTTTCCTACAGATTGTGTGTGTGGTTCCTAGCCTTGTTTTTAGCTAAAAAGGCAGTTTTTATGGTAAATTATGACATCATTTTTAAAAAACAGCTTACGAGATTGATTAGTTTGAAAAGTAGATTCAAGGGCATGTTTAGAGTTTTGTTCGGTGCACAGAGCTTTTAAAAATGGGATTTCTTGGGTTCTATAGAAATAAATTATTCTGTCATTTTTGCAGAATATTATTGTGACAAATCCGTGAGCCTGCAAGAGTTACCTGGAGAC